GGGGTCTTGCGTTCTGTGGTGTTTTCCGTGTTCCCCCCCCCCGTGCGGTGTAGTGAGGGGAGGACGGCTGCTCTCAGGCCCTGCCCGTGGCCGGGACGGGACTGCGTGGGGTGCAAGGCCCCCCCGCAGCCCGGGGAGAAGCTGCCCTGCCCAGGATGCTGCAGCCCCGGGCCCCGCGCAGCTCCCGCCGGAGCGGCCGCGCTGGCTGCGTGCGGCAGAGGGCAGCAGTGGCCCACGCACGGCACCGGCCACGCAGGGCCACACTCACCCCCGCGGCCACATCCCAGGAGAGGGCCGGATGCATGTGTGCCAATGTCGCGACAGGCTGGGAAGGTCTCTGCCTGTGAGTGGGCTTGCGTGGGCGCAGAGGCAGCCTCGGCGGCTGCACACACACCGGCACCGTGCCGGCACATGGCTGCTACGCTGGAGAACCGTGCCTGTACCCAGAGCGCTTGCACACGCATGCACACGCACAGGGAGAGGGCTGTGGCTGCACACACGTGCCCACACACCCATGTGCCGCGCGCTGTGCCGTAGTTGTGCTGGGGCTGGTACACCGGTGCTGCCCTGCGTCTCTTGTCCCTGGGCTTGGCTCCCACCGCACTCTGCCTGTCCTACTGCCCTAGCCCGCGGTCAGCGGCCTGACACCCCCAGACGCCAGCCTGCCCCCCCGCGCTGACCCGCTCCCCCGTGCCGATGCCAGGACGGGCGCAACGCCAGCCAGCGATGGAGGTGGGGCGACCGTGCCGCAGAGAGGGAGCAACGCGCCCCCGAAGAAGAGGGACAAAGCGTGGGCGAAGGACCAGGGCTCCCATGCCCCAGGGTGCCCTGTGGGGCTGGCTGGAGGAGTGGGCCCAGGCTCCGAAGCAAGGACCATGACCCCAGAGTCTTGGGGCTGGCCAGAGGAGTGGGGCTGTGCCCCTGCAGAAGGACAGAGGCTCTTGAATCCCAGGATGCTCCCCTGGACTGACCGAAGAGGGATGCCGTGACCAAGGCAGCAGACCAGGGCCCTGAGGCCCTGGAGGGCTTCTGGAGGCTGGCCCCAGCCCCCTTGCTCCGCAGCAGCTCCCCAGCAGCTCCCCAGGGCTCTGGGTCCCCCATATTTATAACCGAGGCCATGGGGAACCTGGGGGGGTGTGGTGGAGGCTGTGGGGTGCATATCCTGACACACACCCCCCAGAGCTGTGTACAGAGGGCAGCCGGGCTGCCCCTGCCTCTTAGTAAATGGCCTTTATTTTTGTACGGATGGCCGCATGGCCTGTTGTATGTATTGTGTCTCCTCAGCCCCACCCCTGCACCCGCACACCCCTTCATGCCCAGCGCCTGTGCCCCCCCGCTTCTGCCAGGTGCCCCTCCCGCCCTCCTGCCAGCCCCTCCCTACGGCTCTGCCGCCTGCCTGGGGACGCGGGGTGCAGGATTTGGGACCTGGCCTCTGGGGCAGGCATGGGGCGGATGCTGCACCTCGTCTGAGCAATAAAAGGATTCTGTCCCAGAGATGGATGCCTCTCTTCATGGGCCTGGGGGCTGGGATTTGGCTCTGCCCGAAGCTGGGGAGGGATGGGGGGCAGTGCCATCTGGGTGGGGACACTCAGGGATTAGATGGGGGAACTGGGAAAGCGTCCCAAGGGGGACTGGGAGCTGGAAGCTGGGACCATGCAGGGTCAGGAGCAGGACCCTAGATGAGCTGCCCCTGGCAGATAGTGGGGGGACATCAAATAGACCCTAAGATGGGGGTTGCTCAGGCTTGGGGGTCCAGGGTTGCTGTGGGAGCTGAGCACCGTTCCTTGGGAAGCTAGGGTTCCCCTGCTAGTGCTAAGCCCCTGATGCCAATGTCTGGCTGGATGGGCCCCTGGCGACACTGAGTGACTTGCTGCATCTTTTCATCTGGGGAGGCGTAGGACTGCTGTGCCACCATCCCAGGAGACAAGCCCCAGAGAGACTGGGTGCTTTACACTGTGACAACCACTAGTGAAGCCCTGCCCAGGAGGCTGGTGGCATTTGCCTGATGATGGCCACGGGCTGTGACATCTCCCTGCAGCTCAGAGAGGGATTCAGCTGGCATCAGCGGTGCAGGGAGCATAGGGTGAGCAGGCGGGAGAAGGGAGCGGGGCTGCAGTGCAGGGTGGGGGGTGCTGCGGTGCTGGGGGAGGGTGCTGCACCCTGCACAGTTCCTTGTAGCATCTTCCCTGGCAGTACCCAGGCCCAGTGCTGCAGGGGATGGGGTTGCTGTGGGTCTGCCAAGTGTGACCAGGCACTCTGCTCCTCAGCCTGCCACCGGCTCAGGGCTCTGCCTCCCATCTTTTGAGCTTCAGGTGGCCGCTGGCACTGCCTTGCACATTCAGGGCTGTGGCTGTGCCCTGCTCCCCCTGCCAGGAGGGTTTCGAGACCTGGCTCTGCAGAGCAGTCCCAGCACCCTGACACCACAGTGGGGAGCAGGTGCTGCCATGCGTGGCCTGAACCCCCAAGTGCCACCCCCAGTAACACAGTGGCTGGGGGAGCAGGTGCCCAGGGAGGCTGGATTGGTGGCTGGGGGTGTGTAGGGGACACGTGCACGTTGGTGATGCCAGGACAGGGTTATCCCTGGATGGGCAAAGCTGGGCAGCCTCGGAGGGTCTCTGTGTGTCGTGGAAAGGTGATGCTGGGCGTCTGGCAGATGGGTAACCCTCCTGTCCTCTCTCTCCCTGCGCAGAGCACTCGGCCGCTGCGAAGACGGGGGGCTGCTTCCCCGGCAGGGCGCTGGCAACGCTGGAGGACGGTGCCCGGACACCGCTGTGGGCACTGCGCCCGGGCCAGCGGGTGCTGGCAATGGATGGGGCAGGCAGGCCCACCTACAGCGACTTCTTGGCTTTCCTGGACAAGGAGCCCCGTGCCCTCACCTTCTTCCATGTCATCGAGACGCGGGAGCCACCCCGGCGCCTGGCCCTGACACCCACCCACTTGCTCTTCGTGGCAGAGAATGCCTCGGCGCCTGCTGCCCGTTTCCGTCCCACCTTTGCCAGCCGCGTGCGCCCCGGACATTTTGTGCTGGTGGCGGCAGGGGGGGGTGGCTTGCAGCCCGCCGAGGTGGTGGGGGTGCGGAACCGGAGGGACGTGGGAGCCTATGCCCCACTGACACGCCACGGGACACTGGTGGTGGACGGCATGGTGGCCTCGTGCTTCGCCCTGGTGCAGGAGCAACATCTGGCACAGCTGGCCTTCTGGCCACTCCGGCTCTACCACAGCCTGATGGGGTGGCCAGGGGCGCAGGGGGATGGCGTGCACTGGTACTCGGGGCTGCTCTACCGCCTGGGCAGGCTGCTCTTGCCCCCTGACAGCTTCCACCCACTGGGAGTACCCTGGGCAGAGAGCTGAGGGTGTGCCCCAGCCAGCACTGCTGGTGGAGGTGGTGGCTGCGGGGCAGCTCACCGGGGGCCAGCACCCCCTCCCAAAGCTGGGTGCCCATGGGGAGCTGCCTCCAGCCCTGCCTGCTCGGGGCACAGCCACCTCCCAGTTGGGGGGCACCGGGGTTCCCCGGTGTGCGTCCTCCATGCTCACCGCCCCCTCCTCACCTCCTGTTCCTGGGGGCAGGGGTGAGGCACTAAGGGTCTCCCCCGGATGTGGGGGTGCCCCCGGCTGGATCCACATGCTGCTATTTGTGTGTGTGCGTGTGATGTGCGTGTGCGTGTGCAGAATTAGCCAACAACAGAGGTCTGATAGACAAGGGGGAGCGGGAAGAGGAGAGAGCCCCTGGCTGCAGGCTGCTCCCGCGGGGCTCCCAGCCTGCCTGCACCCAGTGGGGAGGCTTTGGGAGGGGGGCCCCAGGGCCCTTTGCTAGGCAGGCTGGGTGGGAGGGCAGGAGATGCTATTCCCACCCCTTGGACATGTCAGCTGGGAGGAGGGTGACCCAGGTACTGGGACTGTGCCTTGTCTTTAGCCCTGACTGCGGGTGCAGGGCGGCACCCAAAACCAGCCCCTGTATGCCTGGGGTGCCCAAGCACAGGCAGGGCTGGAGGGGCTGGCACAGCTCTGGCACGAGACCCCTGACTTGGTGACACAAGTGCTGCTGGAATGAGAGACTGGGGAGCGGGACCCTGAGCTCTGCCCAAAGCCAGCGCGGTAGCCACCCAGCCGGGCATGCCCGTGGGGACGCTGTGACAGCACAGGGGGCTCTGGCTGGCAAGAGGGGGCTGCGGAGGCAGGTGTGTGGACAGGAGGGTGCAAGTGCCAGCCAGGCATGGGCACGCACTGGTGGGAGCAGGGGTAGGGAGAGCTGGGGCCGCAGCCCCAGCCTGCTGGAGTCGGGGGAAGGAAAGCGCTCCCTCCCTTGCCTTCCCGGCATCCTGCCCTGAGCTGGCTCAGCCCAAAGCCATGCCTTTCCCACCCCAAAGCTAAAAAAACTCACCAAGCTCCAAACCCTGCCTGGCCTGACCTCCCCAACCCCCCAGCACCCCAAACCCTCAGGGTAACTCATTGCTGCTCACCCGCTTCCGGGACCTGGGGGGAGTCCCATCAGTGCTGCAGCAACGGTGTCCCCCCCAAATACTAGCTAGAGCCTCGGCCTCTCCTGGCTCCATGTTAGTGAAGGTAAGGGGGCTGGGGGGAGGCTGTGAGCTGCGTCCCCCCTGCAGCATCACGCGTCTTTATTTATTTATCTGCTCTTTGTATGTACCATAGATGGGAGGCAGTGTGGGCGCGTGCAGGGTGAGACGGGGAGCGGGCATGGGGGAAAGCTGTTTGGTTGGGGGGGTGATTTTTTTTTTTTAAACAAAAAGCAGAAATTATTTAAAGATTATTTTAAAGCACAGTTTTTATGGTGATTGTTGTCCAGGGCGAAGAGAGGGAGCGCAAGCGCGGCCGACAGCAGGTGTATTTTTGTCTCTTCACTGGATGTACCTTTCCTGGTCGGGGACACAGCCCAATAAAACCATTGTCTCCCAGGCGGGCACTCCGAGCTCTGGTGTGGGGAGGGCAGGCAGGGATCAGGGATGCTTACTGCCCATCATAAACAGGGCAGGCAGGGCATCTTGCGCTTCTCTAGGAGCAAGATTTGGCCACCCCAGTGCCCCCCACCAGTAAGGGCGAGCTCTCCCTCCCCACTCCCCCACACCAAGGGGAGGTGGGCAGCTGGAGGCTGCGGGAGTGACCCAGCCTACATGGGACCAAGCTGTCATTGGGGCCACCTGGAAACTAGGGCAAGTGGGGCAGGATGTAGGATGGACAGCCACCGTAAGACTGCCGGGGACACCTCTCCATCCCAGTCTGGGCCCAATCGCCCCAGTGCCCGGCTGTGCTGGGACACCCTTCCCCACCATCTCCATCACCATAACACCCACTAACCCAGTGCTCCTGGAGAAGATGGACCCCCTACCCTGTACACTGGGTTTATAATGTCACTAGCGCTAGCCACTGCTGACTCTGTCCCCTCGCCCCTTGCCAGCCGTTTTCCCCCCTCCACCCCATGACAGCAGAAGGGAAGACCACCAGCCAGCACCCCACACAGCCTCCCCATACCTGTCCCACACACACACCCCTCTGTGTTCCCCCACCCCATCTCCAAGCTGCCCTGCCCTGGTCTCCCTGGGGGTGCTGGGGGCAGGGTCCCCCCAGGGCTTTCCCTGGACCCCACAGCATGGCAAGTGCAGAGCAATTCAGCAGCAGGCTGTCAGCGAGGGCCCTCATCACCGTGGCTAATTTAAGGGCTCTGCGAGGCGGCTGAGCTAATTTAATTAGGTTCTTATTACAGAGAAGGACAAATTGGTCCCCGGGGGGGCCACGGGGTCAGGCTTTCGAGAGGCGCTTTATGGAGTGAAATTTCAATCAGGCTGCCATTGCAGGCACGGCGGGGTGAGCTGGAGGCAGGGGATGCATGGGGAGAGGGTGTGCCCTTTGGGGTGCCCCGCAGCACTGTGGGCAGCCCATCTCCAGGCCTAGGTTTTTATGGTATCAGTGAATACGGGGGAACAGCTCTTTGCCTCGTTAGGAGGATGCTGAAGGGTTTTGGGGGGGTTGCTTTGGGGTGGAAGCAGGGAAAGTGGGTGGGTCCTGGCTCTGGGCCAGCCCCAGGGCAGCCAGAGAAAGGGAGGGACCCATAAATAAGATTCTGGGGTCTTTCCCCTCCTGAAGCCCCATTAACTCCCCCATAGCCCCATAAAGCCCCATAGTGAGGATGGTGAGGACAAAATGACGTCCAGCGGACAGATAGGACTTATGTGGAGCTCTTCCTTCCCTGGATGTACCCCCTTTCTAATCACTCAGCCCCGGGAGAGCCAGGGCAACCTGGGGGCTGCCCCACTGCTCGTGAGCACCTGAAGCAGTCCCATCTCCCAGGGTGCCAGCCCCTGCCGGGGGGCTCCCATCAGGGTCTCTGCTGGGTGGTGATGGATGAGGATGCTGGTGGGTGGCCGGCAGAAGGGCCGGGCTGGAGGGTACCACAATGGATGTCTCTCCATCAATTTGTCCTCATTACCATGTGAATGGTGGGCGGGAGGGAGAGGAAGGGCATGTGGCGACAGGAGAAACCCCCCACATGCTCCCATCTGGGGTAGTGTGTCCCCCCCATCCCTCCAGCCCTGTCTGAGCGTGTTAAACCAGCGCCAACACACTCCCCCCCAGTCCCAAATTCAGGGGAGGAGAGGTACCACCCCCTATTCACAGCCTTGAAAAGGCTACAGGGTCCGGCGCTGTTAACAAGGGGGGACGCTGTCCCTGTCCCCGCCTCTCCCGTCTGTCCCTCTCGCTGTGGCCTTCTGCTGTAGCAGCGCCAGCCAACCCTGCTCCCGGCCCCAGGCTGGCACGCTGGGTGCTGGGGTCCCGGCAAGGGGTGGTGGGGGGCGTTGGGGCTCGGGGAGTGGGAGCGGAGCACCCCGAAAGCAGCTCCTGTTTGTGGGGAACTGCATCTTTGAGCAGCGTGGGCAGGAGGCGACAGCAGGGTGGGGATCCTGCGGGACTCCCAAGACCAAACCTTCCCCGCGGAGGGGGAAATATCTCCGGCCAAGGAGGTGGTTTGTCCCCATCATCCGGGAGCTCTGGGTCCAACCAGGTCCCCATGGCCTGGGTTGTGATGGTGATGGGGGGGGGTCACCCCGAAATACCTGGACCTGCAGGCATCAGTACAGCAGGTTGCAGGGATCCTCCTCCTGGTGAGGGCAGATTGACCCATAGCTGCACCCCCCAAAAAAGCCCAGGAGAGGCTGCCCAGCCCGGCTCAGCCCCACATGCTGCCAGCCCGCGGGTGCCCGCAGAGGGAGCCCGTACCAGCCCGTACCAGCCTCCTGCTCTCACTTGCATTAGCTTAATTTAGCTTAATGGTTTTTCGGAGTGCTGCTGCTCCGGGGGCAGGGGCAGGACCCTGCTCTCCGCAGTGCTTTTAGGGGGGGTCCCAGCGACCTGGCCCCAGGCCCACGGGAGCTCCAGGAGGGTGGTTTGGGCTGTGGAGCCCATCCTGTGCCCCAAACGCCTCCACCACCTCCCTCTCTGCCCCGAGTCCCCCACCTCCTGCCCCTCTCTCAACCGTGGCACCTGTGTGGGGACAGCGTTGGGAGCCCTCCCTCCACTGCATGGGGCTGCCTGCCCCTCCCCAGAGACCCTCTGCCTGCGCTTGGCAGCTTCCCCCGCGCAGGGATGGAGGTGCTTTAGCAGGCAGCAGCCTCTGGGAGTCACACCACAGCCCGCTGTGCCTGTACAGAGATGGACAGACAGATGCACATATCCAGCCCCTTACACGTACCTTTATCCCCTGGACAGACACATGCCCACCACCTCACCAGTTGGGCTTGGACACCCCCCAGCTCTCAGCATCGCTATCCAATCCCCCAAATGACTCTCTTTCTAGCCCAGATACTTTATATCCCAGGCAGTGTCTGGAGCATCCAGGTGTCCCCATGTCCCTGATCTCTATCCCCTCAGAGGACAGGCTGGGGGACATGCGCGTGGCTCATGGTGACAGCATGGGCACTGTGAGGACCACAGGACACGGGCACCCCGGGGCAGTGCCCACCTCTGCAGCCGTGTCCACCCCACATCTCCCAGGTGCAGAGAGCACCCCAGACCCACGGAGGGGTCTGACACCCTCTCCCCCCACCCAGGGTGAGCCCTGCCAACCCTCCCGCTGGAGGGGCATGCTCTAGCTCCCTCTCCCACAGCACGGGGTACGGAGCTAACACACCAAAGCCTACCTTTCCCTTCCCGTATCCCCTCCCTGGTCAGCAGGACCCACCCAGCACCCACTGCAGGGCAGGCAGAGCTGGGGGTGATGCTGGTGGTCCCCCACTCTCCGTACAAGGGAGGGGCAGGCAGGGGCGGCTTAGGACCGTGCGGAGGGTCTGGCAGCCGGCATCAGCCGTTACCTCATACACTGTCCCAGTATGAGACGGGGGGCTCCCAGCGCCGCAGGAGCAGCCAGCAGGATACGTCCCTGGGGGAAACC